TACTCTCTGAGTACGGTTATCCAGCCAGTTATGCACACACCTTATAGTAGCCCCATCTAAGTTGTATTTGCCTAGTTTATTGATAAGAATATCATGCGAGACCGTATCAAACACCTTACTAAAGTCTAGGTATACCAGATCCACCGCTTCTCCCTTATCCACAAGACTCGTTATCCTATCAAAGAAAGCGATCAGATTTGACATGATTTGTTCTTTACAAATCCATGCTGGCTGTTCCCTATCACCTTGCCACCTTCCAAGTGTTTATAGATGATTTCCTTAATTGCTCCATTATCTTCCCTGGCACTGAAGTTTAACTGGTCTGTAGTTTCCTGGGTTGTTCTTATTTCTCTTTTTATAAATGGGCACTATATTTGCCCTTTTCCAGTCTTCTGGAATCTCTCCCGTCTCCCATGATTTTCCAAAGATGATAGCTAGAGGCTCAGATACCTCCTCTATCAGCTCCTTGAGTATTCTAGGATGCATTTCATCAGGCCCTGGTGACTTGCAGGCATCTAACTTTTCTAGGTGATTTTTAACTTGTTCTTTTTTTATTTTACCTTCTAAAACTACCCCCTTCCCACTAACATTCACTATGTTAGGCATTCCTACAGACTTCTCATCTCTGCCATTTCCAAGTTTCCTGTTACTGTTTCTTCCTCCTCACTGACCAGTGGGCCTACCCTGTCCCTGGTCTTCCTCTTGCTTCTAATGTATTTATAAAAAGTCTTCTTGTTTCCCTTTATTCCCGTAGCTAGTTTGAGTCTTTGCCTGTCTAATCTTGCCCCTGCATTCCTGTGTTCTTTGCCTATATTCATCCTTTGTAATTTGTCCTACTTTCCATTTTTATAGGACTTCTTTTTTATTTTTAGATCATGCAAGATCTCGTGGTTAAGCCAAGGCAGTCTTTTGCCATATTTTCTATCTTTCTGACACAGCGGAATAGCTTGCTTTTGGGCCCTTAACAATGTCCCTTTGAAAAACTGCCAACTCTCCTCAGTTGTTTTTCCCCTCAGTCTTGATTCCCATGGGACCTTACCTATCAGTTTTTTGAGCTTACCAAAATCCACCTTCCTGAAATCTATTGTCTCTATTTTGCTGTTCTCCCTTCTACCCTTTCTTAGAATTGTGAATCTATGATTTCATGATCACTTTCACCCAAGCTGCCTTCCACTTTCAAATTCTCAACCAATTTCTCCCTATTTGTTAGGATCAAATCTAGAACAGCTTCCCCCCGGTTGTCTCCAATGCAGTCCAAGAACTTATTGGATAGTCTGTGGCCCGCTGTGTTATTTTCCCAATATGTATCTGGATAGTTGAAGTCCCCCATCACCACCAAATCTTGGGCTTTGGATGATATTGTTAGTTGTTTAAAAAAAGCCTCATCCACTTCTTCCACCTGGGTAGGTGGCCTGTAGTAGAGTCCTAGCATGACATCACCCTTGTTTTTAACCCCTTTTAGCCTAACCCAGAGACTCTCAACACTTCCGTCTCCTATGTCCATTTCCACCTCACTCCAAGTGTGTTCATTTTTAATATATAAGGTAACACCTCCTCCCTTTTTTCCCTGTCTTTCCTTCCAGAGCAAGCTGTACCCTTCCATACAAACATTCCAATCGTGTGTATTATCCCACCAAGTTTCTGTGATGCCAACAATTTCATAATTGTACTTATTTATTAGCACTTCCAGTTCTTCCTGCTCCTTTCTTTAGGAAATGACAATGCTCCTTTCTTTAGGAAAAGCTGAAGTACAAATGGAAAAGTTGATTAAAATTGATTATTTAAATCAAAACTTTCACTTCAGTAATTTTAGATCATGATTTATATCAATCCATCTTGCTTGGATTTTATGCTTCATTCCATCTCTCAGAATATCTAAGACTGTGATTATTATTGTGTGCCTTATTGAAAAAAAATTAAAACATTTATAAATTGTCCAAAAACATAAAATAATACTCTTACCTTATGTGATACTTCTTTCTTCCTAGATGTGATGCCCAATATCCTGATTTCCAAAAACGGTACCCATCCATTTCTCTGCGACTGTCACAAAAGGGAGCATATCCATAAGGAGCTCCATTTAGATCAATATCTCGAAGTTCTTTAAGATCACTTCTCACAATCTAAATCACAGAAAAACAGGAAATACTACTTTTTGTCATTTAATGTTGTTTTGCCCCGTTAAGTATATTCCAAATGCCAGCTGTACTCCCACAGATTCTAAAGTAGATACAGTATTCTGTTTGAACACATTTTTCTTGTTATTGCTTGGGAAAAATGCATACTTTTTTTTGATTGAAATAGGATCAGCCTCTGCAGTATACTTCTGTGATCTGCTGTGGCATTATTCACCTTGTTTAATTTTCCTTTATGTCTTCATTGATCAGCTGCTGTGGCATTATTCACCTTGTTTAATTTTCCTTCATGTCTTCAGTCACTTCTAACATGGTCTAGTGGTGAAGTGACTTAGCCACCAGATAAGTCAGGCCAAAGTTCCACAACATCTAGCCTACTCTTTCGTACAGTGCTGACTGTTCAGACTTCCTGAAGACCCTGTTCCTACCAGAACCACTGAGCACAAAGGCCTCCTACACAGGGTAGGATTTTCCCTTCATTTTTCTCCCAGGCTAGATCCTTACTGTAATCTATCTCCAGGCAATCTGCCTGAGAGTTGACTTTCTCTCAGGTCTGCCACATGAGTCTCCTCTTTTCTTGCAGCCATATCCCTTTTGGTCCAGTACCTTTCTTCTTGGAACTCTTCTTGTCCTTTAGGGAAATCACTTAACTGCTTTTGATCTGGGTCTGATAACTGACCCCAGTCACTTGATCCTGAGTCAGTGAGGATCAGGTGGAGGTGGTTTGGGGAGATGCATGGTCACAGACAAGGGTGAACCTTACCCCTCTTACAGGGCCAGCCAGCATAGAACAGGAACTTATATAGAGCTTCAGTTGATCATATTTAGGCTTAGAAGGATTTTACTGGTAAATGTCAATAAACATCAATTTTACCATACTTACTGTCAGGGCTGTTTCCCACTCCGGCACTCAGAGTGCAGAAGGTGGAGGCCTGCAAAAGACCTTAAATACCTTGCCTCTGTAGGCTCTGCTTAAAAAAAAAATCCCCAGCGTTACAGATGCACTGACTCTGGAAGATAAGCTGCCACCATCAAGTGATTTTTAAGAACCCTGAAAAACCAGGAAGGAACACTTGAATTCCTTCCCCAGGGGTATTCCAAGCTCTTCTGCCACAAGAAATCATGGAAAAAGAAACAAAAGAAAACACAGAAAACAAACTGTGCCTTAGATAGCTAACCTCTCAGGGTTGGCAGGCACACACACAGACCTATTACCTTCCAGGACACAAGAATCAAATCATCGTTTTAAAAAAAGATGATTTTATTAACAAAAAACCAAAAATATATCCTTAAATAAAGCATAATTGTTACAGAGCAATTGAGAAAAACAAATTAAAACACAGAGAACATAGTATCTCTGGGTACAGCTAAATGTAGTGAATGGGGAGGATCACATGGATTTTACATAGAGAAGCTTAACCAAACAACCACAACAAAGAAAAATACTCTGACCATGACTAAACATACATTTCTCTCTCTACTCACGATCCGTGCTGGTCCGTACTTCAAGGCCCAGTTTACTCCCATGCCCAATATTCCTTGTAGGCATGGTAACATTACTGCATGTTGGTCCCTCCAGCCCTTAACTTAGAACTCACACAAAGGAAGCAGCAGCTACCTATCTATGTAATTCAAATGTCAACAGTCTTTCCCATTGGTTTTCCTGGATTCTTGCCAACACCCCCCACTAGCTACCCAAATTTAACCCTTTAGTCCCCGCATGCTGGCCAGCACTCACACTCACAAACTGATGAAAACATATTTTTATCAATAATAACTGAAACTTACAGATTGGAAAAATAAGAAAAATGCTATGTAAGGACTTAAGAGTTTGATTTAAAGATATTTACTTTATATATTTTGACCTGTGATATTGACAATATTTGTTTAATGGTTGTAAAACTTTAACTTTGTGACTCTTAGTGTCTATTGTCATTAAATGAATTCTGACATGCCCTCATAATTTCCTGCAACTTCAAAATTTTAAATCACTAAAAATTAACAAAATGTTTAAACCCTGTAATTTTGCACATGTGGAAATTTAAAAGGTTACAAATAGGCAAAAATGCTTTAAAATAAATATACGTAGACATCAAAATTAAAAAAAATTAAATTCTGCTTAGCCTAATCATATTTAGTAACTAAAAGAAATAATTAATAAAAAGCATCAGATTGGACTTGAAGACCAACATTTTTGGATGCACAAGCTAATATATGTTAAAGAGGCATAACTTCCAAAAAGTGATGTTTACCTCCCTTCTGAAAATCAGGACTGTTAGGTATTTCAGTATGGTCACCCAAAAATTATGGTACTTATCTTTGCAAATCTGGGTCATATAATACACTTATGTTTTAGAAAGGTTCTGAAGATACTTTACAAACAGTGCCTAATTCAGCATAAAAACACTTAAAATCCCTGGATAGTTTCTGTAATGAACATGTGATAAAAACTTCAGCATAACATCCATTTGAGACAGTAAAATGGCTCTAAATCCCTGGGGTGAAGGTATTACTTCACGAGTAAGAAGGGCTGCATGCTCAATTTTGCACACCACATTATACAGCACCGTCAGTAATGCTTATTGATGACCAATCCAGTTATTGAGACCTGATGAGATCAGTATCTGAGACAGGATATCTACAGGGATGGTGAGGGTTGATATGAACTAATGGAAAACCCTACTTCTAGATAATTTTTTTTCTAAAATTGTTTCTTACCTGGTCAGCATCAACAAATATTATTTTGTTCACAGCCAATGGAAAAAGAACATCCAGAAAAAGAATTTTGTAACCCCAAATAATTCTTTGCTTTTCAGTCTGTTGATGAAGCCAGCGGGGCCACTTATACTGTACTAGTTCATACTGGAATTGATACTCTTTGGCCATGTGAGGAATAATTTCCTAGATACAGAAAAACAAAACTTTATGCAGTGCAATATGCACAAAGGGTAAGTGACTTGTGATAGCTCACACAGCAAAGCTGACATTGTTAATACCCAAACGCATAACTGCCATTTCAATAAGTTAACCTCTAGATAATGCACTCTTAATTATTTCATTACTCCATATTTCATTCCCCTTTTTTTAATGTCACTGAGTGATTTTTTTTATCTTTTAGGGTTAGGACATACTGCCTACTAGGTTATGTACGAAAATGCTTTATTAGTAGTTTGATGCAAAATTAAACTAACTATAATGACAAAAACTTTTCAGTTCAGCCCTGCAGCTGACTAAAAATGAAACACTTCTGTAAAGGAACACAAGACTACTCCCTATTTTGTTGTTGGTGATGTCCTTCTTATATTGCAAATAGGAGATACAAAGTCTGTCCCTAGCTTAAGAGTCGTCCAAGCAATACAATAGATTACTAATTCTGACAGATAAGAAAGATCAAACTCCTTAGTTCCATAAGTACGTGACACAAACACTTAGAGTACGTCTACACTACACACTTATTTCGGAACAAGCTATTCCAGAAGAAATACTCCAAAATAGCTTATTGAGAAATACCAGGTCTACATTACAGGGAAGCCTCAAAATTAGTCCGAGGCAGGCTCCTCATGGCGCCCGCGGGCACAGCGCTGGGGACCACTGGTATAGATGGTACTGAGTCCTGCTGTGAGGGCAGGGGACTGGACTTGATGACCTCTCGAGGTCCATTCCAGTTCTAGTGTTCTATGATTCTATGATTTTTCTCAAGCTGTCAGAATAGAAGAAGCTTTTAAAATGTACCCATTATATCTTTGTTTCAGAATAAAAAAGTCTTATATAATGTCTGTTTTTAAAACTCTGAATTTAGTATTTCTGTAATTTAGTTATTTTTATTTATTTGGTGATTTTTAAATGTAAAACACTCCATTCTAATTATAACAATTTGATATTCATATTAATAAAAATAACACTGCACTGTTATTCATTTTACTACTCTGCCATTAACAATGCAAGCATAATGAAATAGGGACATTACATTTACCTTAAACATAGGAGAAAGATAATTTTTCAGAAACCAAAATTTAACTCGTGTTTTGGTATGACGCAGAACAGAAATCATCATAATTCTGTGGAAAGAAAAATCTATAATAAACAAAATTAATATATTAATGCAATCACAATTCAACCATAACATCGAAAGGCATTTTATAGTTGTAAGCCCCATTATAAACTTGAAACACAAATTTGAAGCGAATGTGGTTCTATTTATGATTCCTGCTAATACAGTTTAATCTAGGTTTGATTTCCTTGACCATAACCAACATTCTGACATAGATTTTTCTAAATCAATTTTAGACAGCTAAGCTAAAACACACTGGCCAAACTATATTTAAACTACATGAGAAGAAGCAGTGTTTAAATAAACATAGATCTAATAACAGATTCTATTCTGAAATACATGCATATGTGAATGAAATGGGGCTTAATAATAATTAATAATAATTCTGTAATAATTCATATGCACTGTATGTTAACTTGATTACTAGGATGTTTACTGTATGATTATATTTAGTTTAATAGGGACCATAAGAGAAAACGAACAGGAAGGAGACAGAATGGCTCAAGATAAGCCACCTTTCATCAAACATTGAGGGTGTAAGGGACAATGCCAGGACAGAAAAAGGCCTAGCAACACACAAAATCAAACAAACTGTGGCTGGTTTAAAAAGTAACATTCTCAACAGATAGAAGATTTGCTTGGAGGAACAAGACTGAGACATAAGATAGCCTGCCAGAGGAATCTGAAGAAGTTAGTCCTGCCTAGGTTACTCTGGGGTGGGCAGGGGGGTTGTAAGGGGAGGGAGGGGGCAATGGTATGCTTCTCAGTAAGAAAGACATGGGTATAAATTGTTTTCTCTAAATGCTTTGTTCCTCCTGCAAAACTAATGTTTTAAAACTTTTATTTTAAGAAAGCTGTTTTGGATCACTGTAATTTACTTGCTACAGATTTAAGAACGGAAGAACTGCAGGTGTCTAAACTCAGACCTGTTAGAGAAGAATAGTTGATACACATGGTACTGCAGCCCAGGGACTAGTCTAGGGGCTTGTTCACACCACCTACCTCAATATAAGTTATGTTGCTCTGGGATGTGACTAAGCCACCCTCCGGAATGACATAATGTAAATTACGCCAACCTAACTGCAGAAAGCTCTATATCAGCATGAGAACTTCTTCCACCGACATAGCTACTGCATCTTGTGGAGCTGGTTTTATTAAGCTCACTGGAAAGCTCTTTCCCATCAGCACAGAGAATCTTCATCAAATGCACTACAGCACTGCAGCTGCATCAATGCTGCTATATTACTTCTAGTGTAGACTAGTCCAAGGAATGGGAGAATTACAGAATTCCATTCTGAAACAATGTAGTCAGTGAGATCACAGAGAGGACAGAAGTAAAACTAGCCCTGTAACAGAGCAGGCACAGTGGCAATAGTCTTGGTCAACTTTCAAAAATGTGTGAATAAAAGCAGACTAAACTATCTGACATAGCATACTCTATTGATTCTTGCTTAAATTACCTTAAAAAGCGTTCATACAAATGTCCTGAAGCAACTGAAAAAATATTTAGAACATTGTTTTTCTTCTCTTTTTCTTCTGTTTGAATATCCCCTGAAAAACTTAAAAATAAATATCAATTAGAGGCTTTGTAACTAGGAAGAAGGACAAAAACTCTAAGCCACACAAAGAACTGCATTAATAGTAGGTTATAAATTGACAGAATCATTAAATAATGGTTACTATACAAGCTCAATTCTGCTCCCATCTTTTGCATGTGTGTTACAATACAGTCTTTAAAATTACATGACAACATACTATTTTCCTACAAGACCCGGTGAATTTTCAATTCAGTGCACAGTGAAAGAGACAGAGTGAGTGTGCATGAGAATAAAATTTGTTTTTGTAATCATCGTTCAGCAAGTGGATAACCACCTCAATCACTAACCATCATCTGTTTAGTCTCCTGGAAGCTCAACTGTGCTCTTGGTAAAACCTTTTAAAATTTGTATGTATTGACAAATTACAAGTGGAAATTGCAAAAAAGAACATTGCTAAGGATAAGACACATATCTACAGAAACTCTCTCATTTGCTATACTACCATATCTACCATGCACCATATACTTGCACTCTGAATGATGAAGACAGGAGTGGGATGTCCTGTAGAAAGCACAGACTATGTTCATATAATTAGTATTATGACAGATTATAACAAAAGGGTAAAATTAAAGTTCAGAGATTCACAGAGGTTAAGACAAGAAGGGACCAACAGATTGAGTTGGAACTCCTGCATATTATAGGTAGCTACATTTCACATAGTTGCCCACAAAGAAGTCTAATAACTTATGTTTGACAAAACATGCCTTGTGAAAAGGCATCTAGTTTTGATTTGAAGATATCAAAAGATGAACAATATATCACTTTCCTTAGTAGTTTGCTTAAGGGTTAAGCACTCTGTCAAAACGTTCTAAAATTAATTTATATGGCTTCAACTTCCAACCATTGGTTCTTGTCATCCTTTTCTTCTTTAGAGTAAAGAGCTCTTTATACCTATTATTTCCTCCCTTTGAAGATAATTATACTCTGTAATCAAATCATCTCTCAGTCTTCTATTTGATAAGATAAGCAGATTGAATTCTAAATCTCTCACTAAAAAGCATTTTCTGAACAACTGAATAAACATTGTGGCTCTTTTTTGCATTGTCTCTAATCTGTGCTGGCTAGATGAAAATATCTGAATAGGATTAAAAGGGAAAAGCAGTTATGGAAAAAATTCTGTAGAATATAGATCCACAATCTTTCATCTAAGTAAATGTGCCTTAGGGTGCATCTTCTAATGTTCTCTTTTGGCCCAGAGTACCTAAGTGAGCCCAGCAGGCTGGGCTGAAGTATATGGAAGTATTTGGTGACTCTTGTAACCCTTGTTCCTTTTCTTAAACAGGTCCTGTCATGGCAGCAGAGATGAATAGCAAGTCAGTTTTTGATTCTGAAGTGCTTCCTTGGAAGAGTTAGGGTATAGAGGCCTAGAGTCATCAGCATGGCCTTTCAGTCCTTCAGACCATGATGCTTTATGTTTGTTTGCTTTAAAAATAGGCAAGTGCTTTGAGACTACAGCCAAGATAAGCGGTAGGCAATAATTTTTGATGGGGGGGGTTGGGAGACTCAAAGATTTTGGAAAGTGGTCGAGGACCATATTCTTCCATGATATTAATGGAGATGCAGGGTCTGGAATGGAGGTTGGGTGCAGAAGGAAGCTTGGGGCAAGTGACTGGGGTGCAGGAGGGAGACTGAAGTCTGGGAGGGAGTAGCGATGAAGCAGGCGGTTGTGACATAGGGCAGGGGTCTGGAGTGCAGGGAATTGGGATGTGACCTAGGGTAGGAGGGGACTGTGATCTGGGGCAGGAGACTGGGGTGCCAGACCTGGAAGGGGGTATAGGTGTACGAGGGGGACAGAGGATTTGGGAATACTGAGTGCGGGGGAGCCGGGCCAGGAAAGGGCTGGGGTGGCAGAAGGAGGCTGTGGCCAAGAGACTTACTTGTCAGCTGCCAAACTAGCCTGCAGAGCTTAAAATGTTTCCCAGCCAGCTAGTCTGGTTGCCTGGCCATGTGCTTCATGAATAACTGAGCTCAGGAGAGGGGGCGTGATTCTTCTTAGCTGTCTGTCATCTTAACAAGCAGCTCCCATTGGCTGGTTTCTGCCAGAAACCGGCCAATGGGAATGTGCTGGGGGTGGGGTGGCTCTTAAAACTTCCCCCCTTCCCCCACTTTTCTGCATGGCATGAGGGGCTGCGGGGCAAACAGGGGAGCCTGCATGAGGCTCCCAGCTTCTTCCACGGGCTGGATCCGGTGACTTGGCAGGCCAGATCCAGCATGTGAGCCATATTTTGCCCAGACCTGGCCAAGATCATCCTCTTATGGCCAGTGCAGGGGCCATCCTTCTGGCTGCTGCATTAGCTACATCAGGAGTTCCCAAACTTTTTGACACGGGGACCAGTAAATCCATTCACAAGCTTTTGGAGGACTGGTAACATTCATTTGCATATTTGCATATTCAATAAGCAAATTATGAATATTCAAATAAGTTATTTCTGGTCCTCCCAAAGCCCCCAGTACCAGTGTTAGCAAAGCTTTTGATACAGTCGCCCACAATATTCTTGCCAGCAAGTTAAGGGACTGTGAACTGGATAAATGGACTGTAAGATGGATAGAAAGCTGGCTAGATCAGGGTTTCCCAAACTTTTTACTTTAGTTGGAACCCGGTTTTTTTCAGTACTGTCTTTTGCAGTCCAAAAATATAAATGCGTATTAAAAAAAAAAGAATGAAAAATGAACAAATGTTCAGTGTTTCACCTGGCTGCATCTTCCACCCAGCCTGGACCAGGGCTTGTGGGACCCGGCGCCACATGAACACTTCAGGAGGCGAGAGCAGGAGCAGATTGGGGGTAGCGTATCTGGCTAAGAGGGAGGGTGCAAGGAAGGGTAGGTTTGCCAGGTGTCCGGTTTTGTACTGGACAGTCTGGTATTTGAACGTTTTGTCTAGGAAAGAAATTGAGAAATTACCAGACATACAAAATGCCTGGTATTTTCTAATTAGGCATATTAGTCCTTATCTTCCTGGTTGGTAGATGTGCTCACGCTGTCTGAGTATGTCTACCTGCCAGGCACTTCACAACTACTCCAGGGAGGGTATGTGGGGGAGGCGGGGGGGAGGAGGGGAAGGGGAAAAATGGAATCCCTGGCCAGACTCACTCGTCTGCCAGGGTCTGCGTGTGCCCAGGTCAGTCCCGCTTCCCCCCACCCCTTCTCCTCCCAATGTCCCCCAGCCAGCCCTGCTTCCAGCGGCCGGTTTCCCCTGCCTAGACCACCAGGTTAGTGGAATAGAATG